GGAAGGTATGCTGTACGTACCGACGGCACCAAGAGAGCTAAGAAAGCTAAGCAAGGAAAGTGCAGAAATGCCGCTATAAATCTATACTGTCCATAAAAATTTACTTTAAAAAAAGTGGGTGCTGGTCTCAGCCATGCTATGAGTAAAGTATTTTTTTTTCTTTTTTCTTTTTTTTTTTCCCACCCCCAAGGAATGTCTTTGACAGCAGCTTCCAAATGAGGAAATGTGGTAATCAGCTTTCCAAGGATGTTCAAAACTGCAGTGCAGGAAATGTTGCCTATCTTCAGTCAATTGAGGGTAACAGAGAGGAAATTTGAAGATGTAGAAGAAACAGAAAAGTGCAGACAGCGGGACGGTCGGTGAACAGGCAGTGTTATTAAACACTTTGAATGGGCCCTAGGGACAAGCAGTGACTGAACTGGGTTAAGGCAAAAGCCGAATTCAATTCCATCGTTGTTAGTGAGAGATTGGTAGAGCTTCCCAAAGTGAAAAGCTGCTGCAGTTCTACAGTGAGCAGATGGGGCACTATTTTCTTGTTAATTTTCTGAGTCTTTTTCTAAATTGTTAGAAGTAAGGATGTCAGAAAAAGAATTCACCTTGTAATGATCAGTTCTGTAGAAAAGGAAAGCCTCTGTTATTCTCAACCATTCTTAGCTTTTACGGTTTATAGCATTTGGCCTGGTCTAGCAGCAGATTTAAGGATTTCAAGATTAAACTATTACTGCTTTTAAAAATCACCTGTGATGTAAATAAAAGTTGGTTTGTTTGCCAGTGGAAACTGTAATGTTTTCAGTTAGTAATGACGTTTTATGATTTTATACAACTTGAGAACAAAGCAGTGGACATTGGCAAGAGGTGCCCTCTCCTGGTTTAGTGACCCAAGACACCCTTAAGGCTGCAGAGCTGGGTGAGGAGATGCAGGAGCCCACGCTGCCAGCCAGTGCTGATAGAGATTGAGAGAAGAGATGTCCTTTCACCAGGGACTTACCTGCTTTTTCATGGTTTACTAAATATTAGAGCATACATTCAGAGTTTGCAGTCTGGGGATTCACAGAAAGACCTGAATAGAAAAGGATGCTTATTTTGGGATAATCTGATTTGAACAGCATGCAATTTAAAAAAAAAAACAACAACCTTATAGCTTTCACTTTTGCTTCTTTGCTACAAAAGGTTTAGTCAACTCTGCATAAAAGTGGAAAAGAAAGCAGTGACCTTCTGGATCACACTGGTTTGACTGCATTAAGAAGACTCCTTGTATACCTGTTAAAGAGTAACTCCTTTTTTTTAGCATTGTTACGTAGCAAATGGTGTCACTATTTGTACTTATTGAAGCTTGCCAACTTTATCAGAAAGTTTTGCACTAAAAATTACAGAAGATATTATACCCATAACTTACATCTTCATATTTACTCCCAAGTTCATTACCCCCAGTATTTCTTAGACAAAATGTATCTCTCTGTCTGGAGATCTGGAGCTGAACACAACAGCTAATGCCATCCCTGAAGCAACTGCCCAGGCACAGAAGATTAGAACAGATTTGAAAGATCCTGTGAATTCCTAGGCTTCCTTGCAGTTCCAGTGGACTTTGCTGCTGTGAGTTTCCAGAAGCAGCTAAACCTAAAATATTCCTGGCAGGTGTGAAATGAAGTGGATCTTGGAATCTGTTGCACTCAGAGGTTTTTTACAGCTCTCCATAAGGTAACTCTACAGTAGAGTTTAACTGTGCAAATTTTTCATGTTTTCTGGATGGAAGATCTTTTCTCTGTATCTTCATCTGGATATGTATCTCTGTCCCTGTATCTACTATCTACCACTCTCTCCCTAGTTATATATATGTATCTATGTATCAACTTAAATAACTTGCTTGCCTGTATCA